GTATTGTAAAATTGATTTTTTATACGTTGCACACTGTGTGAAAAATCAGTCAATAACATCAACGTTCTTACCTGTAGGTAATTTGTTATGATAATTTCTACCCTGGTTAGACAAATGTTTTTTATTACGTAATTAAAAACAAGTGATAATTATGATCTAAACATAGGTTTAACGGTTCGAACTTTAATATTACTTGTTTTAATTGGTGAAACAAAATATATTTTACCATCCGACACAATCTTTCCGTTACACAGAGAACACGTATTCGAATATTTAACCATTATGAGAAAGAGTATCGCAAAATTTTGCATACATGCTATTGGAACCTTCGCAGAATTACCTGTAGTAATCCTCATGCATCTTATTGTAGCATCCTTGGAAGAACTTTCAGAAGACTCATGTTAGCGTGAAATTTAACCTAACAAAAAAATGGATACTCAAGCGTGACGAGACATGAGGCTTACAAATCGTTGAGAGGCGTTTGATAAACTTGAATTGTAATCTTTAAGCTGTAATTTTTACTTTTTAATGCACTGTATCCACCTCATGACATAATCATCCCAGGCGATAAAAATTGTTTGTTACATTTGGCGGTGGTCTTTGTCATGAGGTAACCTATTTAAAATAAGCATAACCACTCAGTGATGAAAATTATCGTATGTCTTTAATTACCTATATTACGTACAAAATTAACGTTAACGCCAATGACTTGATTTATTTCTAGATTTTTCTATTAAAAGTTATCCCCAACAAAATGTGTTCAATTTGAATGAATGAATATTTTTATATACTTAAAAAAGATAGTTCTGTCAAATTACTACATAAATACATTAAATAATTATGTGCTTTTCCTAGGATCAGCCATATATATTTTTTTCCCGTACTGAAAATGAACCTTATCCTAGTGTTAGCGTCTAAAACTCTGATTGTTTAAATTTCAATAAAGAAATATCCTTGAGAATTATGCATCGAATAAGTGGAAATTTAGATAACAGGAAATTTTTCATGCAGGTCTTTCAATAAATACTTATCTGTTTATGAAAATTAACGTTAAGGACAAAGAAATCGATTGTATGCGTGATTATCTAAACTAGAAAATGCTTGACTCAAAACACACGAATTTGTCAAATCAGGAATCGTTGCGTCTGGGTACGTAGGTACGTACTCACTAATGACTGTTTTGCCAATCAATTTATATGGCAAATTGTAGGTCTTGCTCAAAAAGGAATCTCAGGTAAAGCACTAAAAATTGAATCTTGGCTGATTTTGTGATTTGGTAATTATGTAACAAGGGTTTTCCCCATTTTAAAATCAACGTTAAATAGGCATCCAGCTCTATAAAAGCAAGCTTCAAAGGAGTTTAAGAATCAAAATTTTAACATATCATTCTTCATATCTTCATAAAATCATTATAGTCTTAAAAAAGAAAAAATAAATTGTATTGATTAAAAAACGAAAAAAATGTCTAATTGGGGAGACTTTTTTTCCGATCTCTCGAAGCGCTTGTCATTGAACGCTAATAGCGTTCGAGATAATTCAGCTACCAAAACACGCTCGACTACAGCACCCGATAGCAAGACTACCACTACCGTAACGCCCACAAAAACGGAAAGTGGTAAATTATTTTATTTATTTATTTATTTATTATTATTATTGTTATTTTTTTTTCTTATTACTTTATTTAACTTTTTGTACTTAATGACAGGTAAACCTGTCACCTCCAAGGCTTTTACTGGAGAAGAGACTAACAAGGCTAAACTTGCTCCTGCAAAGCACACTGAAGAAGAAGCTATTAAAACTAAGCTTCCTCCCCCCCCTGCCAAGTCTGAAGGAAAGTTATGTACTGATGATGAAGCCAAAGGCAGAGTTGATCCTGCAAAGTTTGTATTGATTTAGAATTTTCTCATTTTCTTGAGAACGTCTCTCTGTTAACATTTCTTTATAATTTAGTAATTGCTCACCTGTTGTATTGGGAGACGAGTTCAAGGAACATCTTGACCTTATCGGTAATAGTTTATAAATAACGTCATATCATTGTCAAATGAAATTAAGTTAATGGAGGAAAAAATTAACGTTAATGAATTTAATTTCCCCTGCATCATTGCTGTCGTGTAACTCTTTTTGCATCTCTATGTAGGTCATGACTTTTCAAAGGTGGATGCCTACGCACGTGCCACTCCTGAACACGAAACTAGTTCTTTAGCACGTTTGTCCAAGCATCTTACTTCCTTTGTTTACGACCCTGAAACATGCGGCTAATGGACCCTATAAACGGA